TAAACATATAAAGAAGCCATCTGGAAAAATATTTTTCAAATATTGAAATGGAAAATTTATTTTATATTTTACATTAAGTTAATTCATTTTGTTCATGAATACCAGTTTTTTTTTTTTTTTGAGACTAATATAATAAAATATTGAGTTTTGCATACCTAGTGTTAAATCGATTGTGTAAAAGCGAAGGTATATTCTGTTTATTTAAAAAATGTATAGACTTTTTAAGAATAAATGTTGAATATTTAGAACTATTTAGAAATATTTAAAAATATTAAATATTATTTTTCAAAGTATGTAGATTAATTATTCAGTATAAGTATATTAAAAATTTGGAAATGTAATATTATTAAAAAATTTAATTTAATATGATTCGTAAAAGAAATATTATGTTTGTACATGATAAAAAAATAATTAATAAGGATGAATGTTTTGTTTGCATATGTTACACCAAAGATATTAGATTGTTTTTCATAAAATGGAAAATTTTTATATAATGCGTAGAGTAGATATGAAGAGACGAAAAGGAAAAAGAGTACTTATTGTTCATTATTAACACAAGTACGTAGTGCAGTCGCAATAAGAAAGTGATGATAGAAATGATGATTCAACAGCGTGGACACTGGACATTAATCATTATACTAATTATTAATGTTTGTATATAATTTTATATATTTAAAAAATTATTGCTGTTATCCGTGATATTATGAATATAAATTAATTTACTAATATATGTAACTAATAAATAAATGTAATAAATATTTTTTTTCTGTATTACAACCAACATATTAATTTTCTTTAAGTCAGAGTTTACTTTCCTAGCTGTAATCGTTTAACTAACGTACTCGTTTTGATTTTTATATTGTATTTTCGACAATAACACACTACGCCTTAGTATTTTGCGAATAGCAACCATTCAATAATATTTTAGGACCTATAATGCTGGGTCGTATCCATGGGTTGGGGCCTAACAAAATAAATCCCATCGTAAAATTGTCATTTACTACATTTATCAAAATCTATAATAATAGAATTCCAGAAAAAGGTCTTCTCGAAAATATCTGCATCCGGTGTATAATAATACGCAGTAAATGTTTTGAATTCACACCTATAAAATGTAACAAAATATAACTAACAGAGAAAAAACAAGTACGAAAGCTGTTCGTTGTGGTATTTACCGATGAAAAATTATTAACGCACCCGAAATAACATACATTACATTAAAAGCATATTATTAAAAATAAGAATTTATATATATAAACATATTATCAATACAAATAATTGGTAGAAAATACATAAGTAGAAGCATGACAAATTAAATTGTTCATGGGTAGTACTTATAGTAGTAGCCAGTAGGTACTATATAGTGATATTATTTCTGTGTTTAAAAAAAATCACACTATATACCGACCTACTGGGCCTGCTCTGTCACCTACAATACAATAATATCATACGTCAAATTGTGTGCTGTGAGGCCACACACATCCACATTATAATGTGTTTCAAACATAGGCGTGCGCACGGGGGTGCCGGGTGGCCTGCGGGCAGAGTTGGGCAAAATGTTATCTAGATAATTATTCGAATAAAAAATTTTTCGAATGATTTTTTCTCAATTATTCGAATACATTTTTATTCGAATAATTTTCACACATTATTATTCGAATAAAAAATTATTCGGATAATTTCAAACTGTTATTACCTATTCAAATAAAAATTATACTAGGTAGTACAAAATATATATCATATAATGGTAATAAGATTATAAATTTATAATTTATAAGTCTTCTAGTTAATAATAGCATTATTATACTGTGATATATTAAACTAAATTAATTTTTTAATAATAATTTTATTTATTGAAATTTAAAATTTGTTATATTTATTTATTTTCATTTTTGTCAAAATATTTATTTACGTTTTTGTTATTACTATTTACTACTATTTATAACTGTTGTAATTATTACGAAATAATATTCATATTTTAATATTACTAAATTATTATTAAAAAAAATATGTCAAATTCTTTACTTTCTTCTATAGAATTATATCTGTTTTATAAATAATATTTTTTAATATTTTCATCATCATGTAATTTAAAATACCTACAATGCCAACTATTAGCCTGTTTTTAATTACCAACCCTATGGTTACCCAAACAAAATAACCGAAAATTATTCGAATAATAACGTTTGAAAATTATTCGAATACATTTTTATTCGAATAATCGTGAAAATATCATTCGAATAATAATTTATTCGAATAAAATATCATCTAAATATTCTAAATAATCACCTAAATAAAATTTCATTCGAATAACGCCCTACTCTGCCTGCGGGGCACCTCTCGACATGTATTGATACCCTAAAATTTAAGTTCTATAGCAAACATTGAGCTCGTATTTTAACTTATGTTACTAGTCTGAGCACGAAGATTCAAAATTTATTTTAAAAATAAATAAATTATAAAACTCTTGGACGTTTTTGCAGCGGGACTGCGGCGGCTATGAGACTATTAACACATAGCATCTATGCTACGTTGTAACAATAATTACGTTAATTTTATATGTAGGTGCCATGGACGTCCCCGAGCATTTTTCTGGAGGGGAAGAAAAATTAATTTAGAAAGTATATGAAGGTTTTTTTTCATATTATAGTACTTTATTATTTTTTTGTCATTATTACATTAAATTGTCACAATAAAGTATAACAAATTTAAAAATTCTAGGGGGGGAAGTGCCCCATCTTGCCCCCTCTGAGAACGCCCATGGTAGGTGCGGTTTATCAGTCACAGCTTAATACCAAACAAAGGGAAGACCTTGATGTTAATAATATTAGACAATACAATTATTTTGGTTTCACATTATTACAGTACATTTACTGTTTTAAAATACATTTTTAAAAGTTTATATTAGTTATTTAATACGATATTTTTGAATTTCATGTATATTTTTATCATGCAACTAAGTAAAAATTATAAACCTTTAAAAAAAACCTGGCTAGTTGTTTTGGTAAATGGAATTAATTGAATCTCTTTCACTGTCATTTTGAAGCTTTATTTTTTTCCTTAAAACAAATATATCAATATTCAAATATTTTTTAATCAAAAAGTCAACGTTAAAGTCAGTAAAGTTGATATTGTTCTAACGCAACTGGAGGCACAATCTAGAGCGATGACAGACTAGTTTATAAAATACTATTTATATAATAATAAAAAAATTGACTACTAAAAATAAAAAATGACGCGTTTTATTTATTCATCATACTACAAATGTTATAAATCCAAACAAGTGACCAAAGTTTGTATTTTTTTTTTTATTTTTTTTTTTTGAGATTATATCAACTAGTATAAACGGTCAATACTTTCTCAAAATAAATACGAGTGCATTAAGTCTAGGTCTGAAAAGTTTAAGCATTGTATAATTTTTTTTGATTTAAAAATTTAAATAACGTGATGTACAATCGTTTTCAAATAAGTCATGTACCAAGGGAGCGCACCTCTACCCCCTTCTGGATCTACCACTGAGTTATAATAATAAATAACCCAGATCGGAATATTGTACCTAACATATAGTAAAAGTACGTCGAAATTAGGAAAACAAAACGGTAGTATCGATTCACTTTAATTATACGAGTATCTCGATTATCTATATTTAACCATATACCTAGGTCACGTATTATAAATACCTAAATAGGTAGATACCAACTCTTGAACTCAGTGCGTAAGCAAAATAAATGCGATCAAGGGAAAGGCTATCGCATTTTGGTGTCGTGTTCCTGCTTCTGTAATGTTTGTAAGCATTATAATTTTATTTATCCATTAGTTTATCAATACAATTCGTCTAAACACTATAAAGATACACATTATTTTATACACGAGAAACATGGTAATTGCTACACTTATTATTGAGGTTAAGTAGTAGTTTAGTGTCTTTGTTAGTAAAAAAAAAAAAAAAACTCATAGGTATCTGGTATATTATTATATAATTACAGAGCCATATTCTCGTTAGCCATAGATCATAAATACGTATAAAACACCAGAGCTGAATTAGCTAGGGGTGGGCTGAGTGGTCTGTAACAGTTTTTATTATTACTTTATAGTGACAGACAATAATAAATAGAAATTTGTGTTTCTATTCAAAATAAAATTTTATTTAACAAATACAATTTGTCGTATTTCTCAAAACGAAAATATCGGTGCTCTAAAATCTATATAAGACAAATTTTTGCACCGATTGCCGTTCATTATGTTATTTTATCGAACGCGTTTCTAATTAAACACATATGGATCGAAAATAAACGTCAGAAGTCGTAATATCGACGATCAACGATGAATTTTTCGTATTAATTGATTAGACTTTTATGGGCAGACAGTAAAGAAAAACTCAATCAACTAGCAAGAATGAGCTCAGTTGTAGAAATTCTAAGAAAAATTTATTTCGAAAGTGTAATTGAAGATTTTGTAAAAATAAAAACACGAAAGGTTACAGCATTAAATTATTTAAATTTTAAATATAATTATTAAAATAATTAAATAAAATATAACCTACGTATTCGTTTCATTGTTTTTAATTTATTATTGAGTAAAATAAAATTAAATAAATAGATAATACCTACAGGTACTACTGAAAATATTAAACGTCATTTAATAAGCAAAATATGAGTTATCTTATTTATTTATTTGGAGCCCGGGCCCTCTAATATATTCTGTCCAAGGTCCACCAAATATCTAAAATCTGGCTCTGTAAAACACCATATAAATATAAGGAATTTTCATATTAATTTCATAACTATAGTTATTGCGTCATAACAGAAATGAGTACTAAGCACCCAGATCGCGTTAGTATATGGCGGCAGCCCCTTTGTCCATGGAATATAAATCGTGCGAGAACCACTCTTCAATTATTGATAACATAAATCATGATGCTACAAAATATTAGTTGATAAGTATTTCCTTACTTTTTGATTTTCCTTGTCCAACGTGGTTTACCTTTTTATGTGCAGCAGCCACACCCTGCAGTGAAATTGTTCAATATTTGATTTAATAGTTGTTTTCATTTTTTGTGAACCTATCTTAACTTCTTTTCAGATAATAAATCAAACTGTTTTTGTATACTTACATTACAATTTATTTACTTTTCTAAAAAATGGATAGTACCGATTTTGTTGATCCAGAACAACTCGAACCTTCTCTACAGAACATAATCGATCAGGATAGTTTGAAATGGATCTTTGTCGGTGGTAAAGGAGGTGTTGGTAAAACTACTTGCAGGTAATCATTGTTTAAAAAGTGCATTATTGATTTTACTTATTTTATAATTATCTGTTTGTTCTCATACTAATAAACTGTGTTTAATTTTTAAATATTAATTTCAGTTGTAGTTTGGCCATTCAATTAGCTAAAGTCCGTGAATCAGTACTCATACTATCAACTGATCCAGCACACAATGTATCTGATGCTTTTGGACAAAAATTCTCTAAAAATCCTACTAAAGTTGAAGGTTTTGACAATTTATTTGCCATGGTAAGCATTTTAAAAGGTAGGTTTATATTAATTTAAATTTATTATTTAAATTTATTACTTAGGAAATAGATCCTGAAGATGACAGTGAACATAACTACTTTAAAGACATCGATGGTAGTGAAATAACGTTCTTGTGTAACAATTTTATAAATGCCGTTGTACAAGCTGTTCCTGGTATTGATGAGTGTAGAAGTTATGCTCAGATTATGGAGTAAGTGTATTTAAACATTTAATATTGTACTGATATAAAAATTTTAAGTATAAATACACAAGCTTTTTATTTTATTATTTATGTGACATAATTTATGGGTTATTATTTATTACAATAATATAAGTAAATATTATTTAAAAAAAAAAAAATTAAACACAACCAAAAAAAAAAAAACTTATTAGACCAATAAAATCTGATCATTGAAAATTGAATATTGGAATAGAAAGCAATATTTTATTGAATAATTTAATACAGTATCTGGTGCATAATGTTTTTGATTAAAACAATGGTGCATTAATAGACCATTATGTGATATAAATATGTATTGATCATCCAAGTTAAACTTAAAATTCAGGGATATGTTAAGCGCATGCATTAAAAAATTAAAATATACTCAAATAATAGTTTTTGTATTTATGTATACACTCCCAAAATTGATAATTATATATATTATATGTATTTATGATGTAAATATATAATCAAATTATTTATTAATATACTTCAAAATGTAAGAATATTTATATGAAGTATTTATTTTGAAATACATATGTAAATAAACTATATATTTTTTATCTTCATAGTGAGACAATGATTTATCAATATGTTACAAATACATATACATGAAAACATATAAACAAATCAATTTTATAAAATATTACAAAAATACCCATTAAATTAAAGTGTAAAAAAATTTTAAAATCATAAAATTTGTCATAAAAACTTAAAATTTTAAAATGTACTTACCTACTCTAAAAAAAAATCATTATTTTCAATCAAACAAGCATAGGTACTCGTTTTGCTTCCTTAGTATACATATTGTAAGAATGGTAATCTAAATAAGTACGTAAATGTTCACAAATTTTAGCTTTATTTATTAAATATGATAAAGTAAAAACTAATTATTTGAACAAATTCTTAACTAAATTTATATATGTATAATATGATTATGCTAAAAATAGGTTCTTGAATACAATATTTGTCATATTGAAATTAAATTATTTTTATTTAAATTCTATTATAAATTTGTATTTCATAGTAATTATAAATGATGTATACAGTATGTTTGTGTGATTTTAGGTTAATTAAGAATATGGAATATTCAGTTGTTGTATTTGATACAGCTCCTACTGGGCATACTTTGAGACTACTGACATTCCCTTTGGCTATGGAAAAATCTTTGGAAAAAATCTTGCAATTTAAAGATTATATAGGCCCTTTCGTAGATCAAATGCTTTCAGTTTTTGATACTTCTGTTAATATAGAAGAAACTACACAAAAAATTGAAGAATTGTTGGCTACAATTAAAACAATTAATCAACAAATCAAAAGTCCTGTAAGTAATCAAAATATTTTTTAAATAATTAAAATTGATTTTAAAACTATTATTTTGTAATAGGAAAAAACCACATTTGTTTGTGTATGCATTGCTGAATTTTTATCATTGTTTGAAACGGAAAGGATTATTCAAGAATTAACCAAAAATGGAATTGACACTCATAATGTCATTGTTAATCAATTGCACATTACTAAATCTGAATCGGCTGAAGCGACTGAATCGGCTGAAGCAACTGAATCGGCTAAAGCAACTGAATCGGCTAAAGCGACTGAATCGGCTGAAGCAACTGAATCGGCTGAAGCAACTGAATCGGCTGAAGCGACTGAATCGGCTGAAGCGGCTGAATCGGCTGAAGCGGCTGAAGCGACTGAATCGGCTGAAGCAACTGAATCGGCTGAAGCAACTGAAACGACCGAATCGACTAAATCGGCCGAATCGACTAAATCGACTGAATCGGGTAACAATTGTAAAAAGTGTTCTTCTAGACAGGCATTACAGCGCACCTACTTACAACAGGTTAATTTATATTTTATTATATGATGAATGCAGTATATTTCAAAACTGATTTTTATAATTTTCTTTTGTTCTAGATAAATGATTTGTACTTTGATTTCCATGTTACTAAGCTTCCATTATTAGATAATGAAGTGCGAGGTGTTACTGATATATCAGAGTTTTCCAATTATTTATTAGACCCGCATTATGTTTATAATAAGCCCGAATAAGTAACAAACTTTGTTCTGATTTTTTTTTTTTTTTTATGTTTAGTTTAAACAAAAAATTTTTAAAACTATATAATATGCACATTCATAAACTAATGTTTTTATTTTATATACTTTTTATCATTATTATTAATGTAATTTTAATGTTTTAACTTTTACTTACTTTTATTTTAGTTAATTATAATTAATTTAATGGGTTACTCGACAAACAAAAATATAATTTTAAATTATTTAATACAGTAACAAGTATGGTACATTATTAAAGAAGTTAAATTAAAATAATTTTAAATGGAAATACACTTATTACTTTATTAAATCTTTTAAATTTTTATTCTATCTAATTATAATAATTTATGATATTTTTTCAAGTCTTAAAAAATAAAAATATTCTTTAACTATGTACCTCGCATAATATTAAAACCTTTTATTTTAAATTATTTAAAAATTTAAAACTTCCAATAGCTTATTTAGTAATCATAATTACT